CCCACTAATCGAGCACAACAAGTGGCATTTTTGAGGCAACAAAAATCTGGCCATAAAAGCCAAAACCCGAGCCTCAAACTAGCCAGAAAAAAAAAAAACAAAAACAGCATATAAATCTTTGCGTAGCTTCCTATAGACAATATTGATTCTCGGCTAGACGAGAATTATTTAACTACACAGTAAACACAAGTATTTAACGCATTCTTAACATGTCGCCCAACAGCGTGCAGGGTATGCTGCACATTTCTGCTGCGTATGTGACACGAGCTCAGCTCGAGCTGAAGCTAGAGGAATTCAAGAGAACTTGGGCATAAAATATGGAGAACAAAATATATATATATATATGATATTATTTAATATTTTCTGATATGTTTTAAGCCTAAGCAAGAGGCATATGCAAAAGAAAGAATTTATAACTATATGCATGCAGGATATATTCTTTCTTTTCTTGCATTTCTAGATTAAGGATTTATAATTATATAGTATCTGCTATCTGTATAGCATCTGCTCTGCTCGGAAGAGTCTCTACGCTTCGGCATGCCGAATATATACAACTTTTTTTTTGGCTTAAAACAAATAATAAATAAATAATAATTACTAAACAGAAGTAAGAGAGACGAAGTATCTATAAACAAAGCACATTATGCTTAGTAGACAAACTTATGAGATTCATAAATACGCGATTTGCATATCCGGGATGTGAAAGGGCCCCAAATTGATTGTCTCTGAGCTTGGAAAGATGTTTTAGTTGGAAATCAGTAGACCAAGTCTGGAGAAGATCTCACAGTATTAATGTTTCCCTTTGACTATACGAAGCATATTTCATAGCAAAGCTTTTACCCGAATTGCCCTTTCATGTCATATAAAACATATAAGGTATACGCATTTGCAGGACTACATAGCTTAAGTTGGATTATGTTAGAGTTAAAGGGAAATGAAATATTCATACATTAGCCGGGGATTTGAACCAGCATCCTTCCTGATCAATTGCCTTAAGGCTTGTTCTTTCAAATAATGACAAGTTATTTGGTTCAAATTGAATCTAAATATTTGGTTTTTAATATTTTATTATATTATTATATTTGAACGAAAGCTACACTTCATTCTATGCCTCTCCATTTATTTATTAGATATTCAATTTTATTATTACTATATATATATATATGTATTATTATTAGACATTGTAGATATTTCTGCTGCAGACTTGAGCTCCATTTGAAACTTAACATATATATCTCAATTCTCTATTCTCTTGATGTTTCAACCTTCAGTTTCTGAAGTCTGTCTTGCCGATCTTTCAGATTCGGTTTTAATAGATCGGTCAACAACTTTCAATTAAGCTAGCGCATGTTTATTGCTGATCCAAAGATAATGCCCCGCCCACCGTCCACCGCCCCTCAATGCAAGCCCATTGACCGTGTTATTGTTTTTGTTTCTCGGATCTCGTTTTGTGGAGCAGAGACCTTGCGGCCAGACAAGAATTGATATGGGTACAACGGCGAGTACAAGCGAGACTTTGAGCACAAAGTACATGATAAAAATATTGTTTTGTCGAGCTGGGCTTAAGCGCTACTCAAGAAAGAGAGGGCGAGAGGGCGAGCGAGCGAGAGAGAAGACGCTGGTCCAAACGCTACCTGGTTTGAACTTTTTCCGGCTGCTGTTGCCCAGCTCCGGGGTTTTGTCATGTACATCGCGACGTTTACCTTGATGGGAGCTGTGTCTGTGTCTCTTTGGAACTGTCTTGCGGGTCTCTGTTTCATCAGTTGATTATTTTTGTCGGACGCTTTTGTTGAAGACACACGTTAAACGCTTGAATGACACGTTCAATTGAACATGAGACATCAAAAAAAAAAAAAAAAAAAACCAACTGAGAGACAAATACAAATGAAATCCGACTAGTTAGAGGTCCCACAGATCTACGAAGACCTCAGCTGTTACCGAAAAAATGCAAAAGATATAAAAATAAAAAAAAAAAAAACCAACCAGAGTTGGCCTAACAATTACATAAAAGCCAAAACAACAATGTCCCAAAGAGCCAACAGAAATCAAATGACCTCAATCGCAAATTAAATTGAAAAAGAGAAGAAAAAAACAAAACAACAACAACAACAAAAACATGTTTAAACATTACAAAAATGTGACAGAGGGCGAGCTGCAGGCGAAAGATGAGGGCTAGGATCGTGTGAGTAATATGTAGCTCTGCTAGTCGGGAGTGCCCGACTGGCAGATACCCTAGGCTCAAAAATAAAAGGCTTTTTTTTTTTTTTTTTTTTTTTTTTTTTTTTTTTTTGGTTTAAGTTACTTTTATTTTTGCTAATTTTCTGTTACTTTTCACTTTTAGCAACTTTTATCAGCGTGAGTAAAAATAAAAGGCAGAATTATAAATACTTGCAAGAAACTTGGCCGATATCAGTGTGTAAGATTCGATTAAACTAGGTATCGATATCGATATTTATCGATTTTGGCAACAAACGAACAAGCGTTGCTATCGAAGTAGCTTAAGGTGCTTAGAGTAAGCGAGCCCCACCTAACCAATTTCCTTGTCTCCAGCTATCATTATATTTATTGATATTTATCGATACCTAACGATATTTTTAGGTAGTTTAGTAAAATGCGTCTGGCTACCGACAACACACTAAGCTACGTGCAAGCTTGCAGTCTCTAGATCTTAAAGTATATTAGATGCGAGCATCGTTAAATATCGATATTTATCGATTATGTGAGATTTCGATAAAACACAGAGAAAGTCAAGAATTATATTTTTTTAAAAAGTTTTTAAATCTCGTCTTTAAGTGCTTCCGATATTTAAGTGGTGTATCTATCGAAAGGGTAGATCGATATTTATCGATTTTCAAACAATCGATTTAGACCCAAACAGAGATACTGCTTATGTCTACCTCTGCTTGTTGCACAAGTGAGCACAGCTTCAGCATACCCTACTTACGCAATTTTAATGGGTATTTCGAGTATATTTTAAATGGGTCACACATTTTTGCCGGGCCGAGAATAGCCCAAATTAATTAATAATATTGGTTAATCAATTAACAATGCGCTAAGCACTTAGCCAGTTGAGGAAAATCAGCTACCAATTCTCAGCCCACTTCTCCTCCCGCGGCCAAGTCGCACCCCCCACCATTACCTTGGCAAAGCGCACTGCAGCTGCCCGCGCGGATCCAGTTAAAACCTGCTCATGGTCATGGCCAAATGCGGCAAATCGCAGACTACTTCCCATTTGCACAGCACCCCACATCGCCCCCTCCCCCCTCACCACCCCTCGCGCTGCCTTTAAAGAAAATAAGAAACACGCGTAAATCTGCGTCTTGGTCAAGGCGAGCGCCAAAAATGTTGCGTTCGTTAGCAGCCAGAAGGAAGCCAGCGCCACGCACGGCCCAACAACTGGCATACAAATTGTCAACCGAAATGCCAAAATGTCTGCAACAACAACAACAACAACAACAACAAACAACAACTTGCAAACAACAATAAATTGTTGCGCAGTCGCAGCTTCAGTTGCTGTTGTCTTAATACCCTGTGCCCATTGAAAAGGGTATTTAAATGTTGTGCCAATTTATGCTACAGGCAAGAAGCTGGCAGCTTCAAATACTTGTTATATATCTATATATATTATTGATCAATTAACTGCAGAGATATAGATCAAGTTAAGTTCACAAAATCGATAAATATCGATAATCAGCTGAAGGTTTTTCTGCGCAAGAGCTAAGCTCACACAATTTCATATTTAGGCTATCAAATTGTGTGCGCTAATCAAGCATATTTTATCTCTTAGATAACTTTCCCCATGCCCAAAAATGTAAAGAAAGCCGCATATGTTTAGGTATTGTCTTGGACCTGGGTGTATGTATACACACATTTGTATGTTATATATGTGCTCAGAAAATCTTAAGTGTGTTGGACAATAAACAGGCAAGTTATTCAAGAAAGTGAAGTAGAGGAAGCATCGTTGCAGCCTAGGCTGATGAGCGCCTTTCGCTGCTGAGTGCAGGGTATCTGCTAGTCGGGCACTGCCGTCTAGTGCAACACCTACTTGTTGTGCTTTTGAGGCTGTGCGCTTTCAGTTACGAATGCAGCAAACTGGTTGCGAGCTGGCCAACTGGCAACTGGTTACAAGACAACCAACAACAACCAACAACAACTGACAACAACAACAACAACTGACAACAACAACAACTGACAACAACTGACAACAACAAATACAGCGTGCAAATATATTATGAACAACACAGGAGAAGATCGCATGGCAAAGCTGAGCTGAGACATAAATTCACAGAGGTGCCACAGTTGGCAACATGTTGCAAGCAGGTAAACGGCGTGGGGAAAGGAAGGGGAGGGGGGGCGGCGCAGGTGTAGCGGGAAGGCGAGCGGGGCAACATTATATAATAAACAACAAACAGCAGAGCTGAAACAGCCGCAACTTTTTTATGTGCCACCAAAACGAGTAGACAAAACGCAAGTAAATCAAAGCCTGGCGCGCAAGCGCGACTGCCAGATACCCTGTAAAAGGCTCCAAATGGCAGTCAGCAGAGAAAGCGCAAATTACATGGCATAACAATGGCATTTAATGACCTTTATAAAGCTAAATAAATAAACATATAAATAATTTTGAAAAATTCCTTGGGAAAAGTTTAAAAAGTTCTTAAAATATACATAAATTAAATAAATCAATCTCTTCTGGGAATGTATCTTCTGAAATTTCGATATTTATCGATTTTAGAGCCATGTTATCGAAAATAAGTTGAGACCTTTGTGCCTAATATAACCCTAATGTACTCTGTTTGCCCCTTGACCAATGTGTACAGGGTATAGGAGCGTCGGTGGAGAGCGAGAGGAAGAAGTTGAGAGAAAGGGAGAAGTTGTAATTCGCAGAGATAAGCCTTCGATGGGGGTCTTAGCTACTGTAGGCGCGCATTAAATAATGCCCTTCTCTTTAAACGTTTTCCTTATTTTATTTTATTTCATTTCATTTCCATTTTTTCGCGCAGTGGACGATGCTTCCGGCCATTATACATCCGGTTTCTTCTATGGCAACAATTATTGGATGGGTTCATTAGCCCTTTGCGATGCCATTTACGATGGCTCGAGCACCATCGACAGCAGCAGCAGCCCCAACAGCACCGCCAGCAAGGACAACAGCACAGCGAACAATGGGAATGCCAATGCCAACGGGAACGGAAACGGGAACGGGAGTGGGAATGGGAATCGGAACAATGGACTGCCCTTTGCCGAGGCATATGCCGAGGCCTACAGCAGCGTCTACAATGCGCCGCCTCCGTTTCTGCCCGGTTTCTATGTGCTCAAGCTGCAGCTAAATGAGACCATGCCAACACAGGTGGTAAGTCGAGTATAATGCCTGTCACAAGAAAGCAATTGAAATGCTAAGAGAGTTATGAGAGAGAAGCGTATAATAGAAAGGCGAGAAGTTAAAGTTCGTTCGGGCATCTAATTTGGTTGATTACCCAAACTAATCAAAGCGTAGCAGAGCGCAGTTTACACACAACTCTTTTGGGTGGCATTTGCAAGCGCAGCGAGAAACAATTAGAGAAGCTAGCAAGGCATGGAAATATACAAATTGAAAACAAACAACCATTAAATATGCGTAGCAAACTGAAATGTTATTTAAATCAAAGTGAAGTTCAAAGCGAGAAGCATTAGAGAAGCTAGCAAAGTTCAGTTGTGCTGCAAGGCATGGAAATGTGCAAATTAAAAACAAAACTCCATTTCTATTTTATTTAAAGCGAACGGAAATTTTCAGCGAGAAGCAATTGAAGAAGGTAAATTTGATTGCACTCCAATTTAGAGCAAAAAATGGTCTTAGAGAAGTATTTTGGCAAAGCGATTAAAAAGTAGCGCTTCTCGCTTCTCTTTGCTTCGCACTACTAAAAAAACCCTCAAAGAATGAACATCAAAGTCAATATGACTGTGCTTCTCCCTTTAAGCTTATTTTCAGCGTTCACATTATCTTTAATAGCTAACGAATAGATAAGAACTTGGCTCTAATTGGTCTGAATGCTCTGAGAGTGCGATAATTTGTAAACATAAATTGAGGTATTGCTTTTAAAATTCAATAGCTTGCTTCTCCCTGCTAAAAATAACCTCAAAGAATGAGTAAGAAAGTCAATAATGAGTTGAGTATGAACTAACTAACTCTAGCGGAAATGCTTTTATTGAGTCATGCAGCGAGAAGCGAGGATAAGTGAAAGTATTAAAAGCAGCGAGAAGCTCAGACTTCTCATTTTGTAGTAGCAGCCACTCAGATGTATCCGAGTATCTCAAAGCTTTGCTTATCGCAAAGCAATAAAAGACGACTGCTTCTCACTATGCTTCTCCCTGCTGCCCTTTGGCTGCTCAAGCATCTGGAATCCAATAAGTTCTCTCTTTTCAATCGTGTTCTTCTGCTTTGTAGCTACGCACCATTTACATGGGCATGTGCCTGCCCTCCAGCTGCAGCATTGCTGATGTGCATCGGATGAGCGGCTATGCGCGGCAGGAGCTGCCCAGCCGGGAGCTGCGCGTGCTGGACATACGCGTGCCCACGGACAAGGAGTTCAACATATGGTCGGACAAGACCTTCTGCCTGCTGATGTAAGTACCAAATGAAAGACGACAAAAACTCACTTTCAAAACTCTGAGCGTGAGGCTAGACGCTAATGGCCAGCACAAACAGAGTGTGTGCCCTCTTTGGGCCGCGGGCGTGGCTGTGGCCATTAGCATGGGAAGTCGTGTGAAATGGCCGAAAATAATTGAAAAGCGAAACTGTTGAGCGGGGCGACGGGCCACGCCCCGCATTTGTTTGGCCAACCTATTAACAGTTCTACCCTCTAGCGTGGTCTCCGGCATTGTGCTCGGCCTGATCTGCTGCGGCACGCTCTACGAGATCTATCTGACGCGCCAGCTGCAGGAGGCGCTGCGTCTGCAGGACAAGGAGATGATGAACAACAGCGAGACGAGCTCCGGCATTGGCTGCGCCTCCTCCGACTACAGCGACACGATGACCGGCCACGAGGAGGCCTTGAAGCAATCCAATCAGTCCGATTCACTCAAACAGCTTGATCAGCTGGTGCTGCATCTGCCGCCCGTCGGCGACAATGACAGCGGCAATGGGCACCATCACGAGCACGAACATGAGCATGAGCACGAGCACGAGCACGAGCACGAGCACGAGGATGAGCGCATGACCGTGCACCATCATCATCGTCATCATCATCATCATCTTCATCATCAGGCAGGCAGCAGCGGCAGCAGCCGCAGCGGCAGCGCAGTCGTTGCCATCGGCAGCGGCAGCGGCAGCGGAAGCAGCAACAACAACAACAACAACAACAGCAACTCGGACGAACACCTGGAGGGTCATCTGCACGAGCCCGAAAAGCTGAGCATCTACTCAGAACTTCTGCTCTCCTTCTCGGCCATCACAAACTTCAATGCCATTTGCGATCGCAACGTGGGCGCCGACACAATACCCTGCATCCATGGACTGCGAGCGTTCAGCATGGCCTGGGTCATACTGGGACACACGTGCATTGTTGTGTTCAAGTACTCGGACAACATGGAGATGCGCAAAGAGGTCGAGCAGAACTTCTTCTTTCAGGCAATAACGAACGGACCGTTCAGCGTGGACACGTTCTTCTTCATCAGCGGCTTCCTCATCTCGTACCTGTACTTCCGCACGAATGCCAAGGGCAAGCTGAACAAGCTGAGCAAGGGCGCCAATGAGTTTACCGCCGGCACTGCACACTTCTTTGGCCTGGTCGCCTATCGCTTTATGCGCCTGACCGCGCCCTATCTGTTCGTGCTGGGCGTCGTCCAGGTGACCATGCGCTATCTGGCCGCCTATTCCATATTCGATCCGCCGACCATGGATCACATTACCTGCCCGGACTACTGGTGGCGCAACATACTCTACATCAATACGCTCTTTCCCGTTGATGAGATGGTGAGTATCCATTGCCTAATCCTAATCCTATTGCTAATCCCCCCCTCCCTCTCCTCTCTCTTGCTAGTGCATGTTGTGGAGCTGGTATCTGGCGAACGACACACAGTTCTATATGATCGGCGCGATTATCCTGATCGTGGGCGTGCGTCATTTCAAGCTGTCGGCCATCACGACGCTGGTCTTCCTGGTGCTCTCCTGGATAACGACGGCTGTGATTGCCTTTACGAACAATCATCGTCCGAATACCGACGATCCGTTGGCGCTGTTCGACAAGATCTATGACAAGCCCTGGACCAGGCTGGGCCCCTATTTGATTGGCATGGCCGTGGGCTGGATATTGTTCCGGACCAATTGCAAGATCCGTTTGCCCCGGCTGACGGTGGCCACCGCCTGGACGCTGGCCATGTTGAATCTGTTTGTGTTAGTCTTCGGCCTGTACCGTACGGATCTCTCGCAGTTCACGGCGGCCGCCTACAGCTCGCTGAGCCATTCGGCGTGGGCGCTCTCCCTCGCCTGGATCACCATCGCCTGCTCGACGGGCTATGGCGGCTATATCAATTCGCTGCTCTCGGCGCCCTGCCTCTATCCCTTCTCGCGGGTGACCTACTGCGCCTATCTGGTGCATCCCATTGTCATACGCTCCATGGCGCTCAACTCGGATGCGCCCCTGCATTTGGGCGGCGATTTGATGGTGAGTTCCCTCCTCCCTCACTCTCTCTCTCTGACTTTCTCTATATGTATTTCTCCTACTTCTCTTTGCAGGTCGTCATGTTCTTTGGTCTGACGGTCGCCTCCTATTTCCTGTCCTTTGTCGTCTCGATGTCCTTCGAGGCGCCCGTCGTCACAATGCTCAAAATCTTGTCACCTAGTCGAAAAAAACGTCTCGCCTAAGCCGGCGTACCCCCCTCCCTCCTCACCCCTCACATACCCTATTTATGCGCTACTATAAACGAATACATATTTTACTTTATAATACGACACATCCATCTATTCGAATGTTGTCTCTGTTTCCCCTCTGATCTAGCACATTCTCATTCGCCACAAGCAAGCAAATGTTTATCGTATTTATAGCATCGATCGTTCATTTAAATCATTCCTCAACTATTCCAATTTATTCTTTTTGCCTTTTTAACTCACTTTCTTTCTGTCTCTTTAACATTCCACAGATTTGTATCTATATATATATATTTTTTTTTTTGTTTCGTAATGTGTACATTTTAGTCGTTTAATTTATTCCAAAGGTTTGGAAATTTTGTGCGTGTCGAAAAATAATAGTACTTAATAGTAATAATTATATACATAATATATATGAAAAACATAAAAGAAAAACGAACAAAAAAAAACCACACACACACACAACTCTAGTACCTAATTTTACAAGTTCATGTTGTATATATATATACTATATAATATGTAAAAACCTTTAAATAAAACTGCTACCAAATAAAAAACATATAAAAAACGGATAACTTCAATTTGAATCCGATTTGTTTGCGCGGCCAACATATCGATTAACTGCGCGATAGCTGGTCACACTACTTAACGAAACAAATGCCCACTCAGGGCTGGCAAATAATAAACTGATCTAAATAATTAGTTGCGCCATGATATAAATATGAATATTTGTTTATTTGCTGACATAAGGTAGCCTTTTTTTCTTGCAATGGCAATTTTAAATAAAATAAATCTATATTTTGAAGCTCTGTAAACAATTTAATTAGAGAACGAAATATGCAAAGTGTGGTTTTTGGTATTTTTTAGTACTTTTACGAAACTTAACTCAATTAACGGTTATTTGCAAGACATCAAAACCAAAGCAGTGGCAGAAAAGATGTAGAAAAGTTTGCGTCAAAAAACAATAGAAATTAATAAACGAGAAACATTTGTGTGTGAACGTAGCGTAAGTAGGCTCAGATCCATTGACCGCTGTCCAACACCAGGCGGCAACGTTGTGCAACACTGAAAAAGCTACGCCGGCATTTAGCGCACTTCGATGTGCATTAATTGAGAGACGTTTACCAATTTTCAATTGCCAACGCCAAACGGCAGCGCCAGCGCCTTTTCGACTCCAACGCATCCTCAGCTCAGGGCGTTGGCAGCACGTGCACAGACATCCTCATCAGTTGGCGGCACAGTTCAGTTGGCGTCATGGCCATGCCTTCGATCTCGACGCTGGTGGGCGTGGCGTTTTTAGCCTACATCCTGCATTCCATATACCAAATGTCGCAGCTCTTCACGACGCTCAAGTGCAGCGACTCGCCCTGCTACACATCCTTTCTGGCGGAGCGGCCGCGTCTGCAGCTGGCGCTGTTCAGCTCGCTGACACGTAATCCGATTGCCACCGAGGTGCAGGATCTGTACAAGACGAAGCGCTTCGATTACGGCAAATCCTTCGATCAGGACTTCAAGCTGGACGTGCCGCTCAAGACGCGCCGCAACGGCACGCTCTACCTGCATGTGGTGCTGGCGCTGGAGGGCGAGCCGCTTGAGTGGCGCACCCTGCGCCGCGAGGGTCCCACCGTGCTGCACACGCTCAGCATGTGCGAGTACATGTTGCCGCGTGCCGAGGCCTTCAATCTGCTGGGCGATGGCGAGAAGCAGTCGTCGTCATCGCCGCCGGCAGCGCCTGTCAAGCCGGCATCTGTGCCGGGTCGACCCATCACACACATACGAAGCGATGTGTACGTGACGCTGCTGACGGATCTGTTTGCGCTGTCGCAGGCGGACGTGCCGCCAGAGATGGCCCAGCTGATACGCGTGAATCGCATGCAACAAATACTGCCCATACTGCAGACGGACATGTTCAATACACGGCTCAAGGATCTGGTTGCCGTGACGAGCAACACCACCGAATTCACATTCCGCTTCCATTACAAGCCCGTCGGCGTGGGCAAGCTGCGCCTGATGCTGCTCATGGAGCACGCCACACAGGCGCTGCAGGCATTCGGATTTGCCAGCAAGGACATTGACGAGGTCAAGGGCATCTTCTCCGATACGAATGTGTACCTGCTCTGCGGCACCATCTTCGTGTCCAGCATTCACGTGAGTAGCCATCATATATGACATTTGATTATTATGTATCTAACCGGCTGCACTTGCTTCCCGCCGCAACAGATGCTCTTCGACTTTCTGAGCTTCAAGAATGACGTGTCCTTTTGGCGCCAGAAACGCTCCTACGAGGGCTTGTCCACGCGCACCACACTCTGGCGCGCCTTCTCGCAGATCGTCATCTTTCTGTATCTGCTGGACGAGCAGACATCGTATCTGGTGCTGGTGCCCGTCGGCCTCGGCACGCTGATCGAGCTGTGGAAATGCAAGAAGATATTGCGGCTCGAGCTGAGCTTCAGCTCGTTCATCAGCCGCAAACTGGAGGAGGTGGATCAGCGCAACGGGCAAGCACAGCCCGCCGCTGGCCAGTTGGCCGAGCAGCAGACGCAGCAATTCGATCGCGAGGGCATGCGCTATCTCAGCTATCTGCTGTATCCGCTGTGCCTGGGCGGCGCTGTCTATTCGCTGCTGTATCAGCCGCATCGGTCCTGGTACAGCTGGACCCTCAACTCGCTGGTGAATGGCGTCTATGCGTTTGGGTTTCTGTTCATGCTGCCGCAGCTGTTTGTCAACTACAAGCTCAAGTCTGTGGCGGCTCTGCCCTGGCGTGCCTTCATGTACAAGGCCTTCAATACGTTCATCGACGACTTCTTTGCCTTCATCATCACCATGCCGACGGCTCATCGTGTCGCCTGTCTGCGCGACGATATTGTGTTCCTTATCTATTTGTATCAGCGCTGGCTCTATCCGGTGGACGCAACGCGCGTCGATACGGGCCTGGCCATTGATGAGACGCCTCCGGCTCGTGGCACCGGCTCCGGGTCTCGCCCCAAGCGCGACTAAAGCCTCGCTCCGGCTCACGACATCACAATGCTAAGTAGCTGCATATTCCGTCGATTTGTTTAGCAAATAGTTGCAACCATTGGCTGTAATCAATATACCCTACACACACACACCCCCAAACACACACACACAACCATGTAAGTGTTTATTGTAGCAAATGCAAGCGTCTCCACGTAACATTTGTTGCCCGCCTTGTGCTTTATTTTTGTTTAACGAATTGTTGAAGTTCCTTTTCCTGATTGGAGTTCCTTTTCAGTTCGATCCTTAAGGACAACTGGAAGTCTCGCCACAAATTTGTATACCCTGTATCCCACTAGATATCTAGCAGGCGGAGAGGCAGGCATCACAGTAGCGATATTATCTGCGCAGGTGGAGTAGGTATAATATACCCTCGAGCTTAGAAGGAGTTATTTTCTTGAATAGCCTTAACAGCCGGGTCTATATATTCATTTTCCCCGTTTCCACGCAGACAAGTCCCCCTAGCAGGCATTATGTCTAGAGTCGGCCGTATCGGACCACTATAACATATAGCTGTAGCTGTCGGTCGAAAATGGCTTCGAAATTTGTCTAAAAAAAAGCCTCTTTATACTCCCAATATAAACACAAGTTCTTTTCAACATCGGAACATTTTATTATATAGCAACGCTCGAGAATGAATATCTACTTACAAGAAATATGCCAACATATGAGCAAAGTGCCATCATTGCTAGATCATACGATATAGGAGTAGATATATCTGCCATGGTAAAAATCTGTTGGGAAAAACATTGTTATATAATTAAGTAGGGCTCGCATCAATGTCATTTGTTATCCTGAATTATCCATAAAGATGGCCTAGCATACATGGAGCGTAGTCGGACAGTTCAAGTGGGAATCACATAACTAGAATTTTCCCCAGTTGGAAGATAAAAGACGGCACATCCAGACGAAATGGAATGTTAGCGACAATTCCCAACGTATTTTGATAGGCCCTCAACTAGCCTCTAGGAATGCCCACAGTATTTGCATACATTTAATGATCCTGACTGGGATACAGGTGATCTATTTGTATTAGGTTTTTTGTATATTTTTTGTTGTTGGCAAAAAAATGATTTAATTATGTATAGTATATATAGTAGCATTAGAGCTTAAACTAAACTGCCGAAGGAAAAGGGAGTTTGCCGTGCCGTGCCGTGCCATGTCGTGCGGTGCGACAGGGATTCACAGGAGACTCGCTTAGCCGTTGCGTATGCCGAGGGCCTGCTCCAGTTCGGCGCGCTTCTGATTGACCTTGGTGAAGAAGTAGCGCGATACGGCCTCGTGCGTCCAGGGCTGATAGTAGAACTCGGCGCGTCGCTCCTCCTCCGGATTGCCCACCACATCGGTCATGAGCTGCGGGAGCAAACAATTTAGAGGATTAGAGAAGGATGCCAGATGCCAGGGACATTTGTGGTAACTCACCTTAAGGTCTCGCGTCTGGCTGATGATCCAGCGATGGATAAACATTTGCGGATCCTTGGCAAAGCTGAGAAAGAATTCGCGATTCGTTTTCATTTGATTGATCGTATCGACGGTCTCGTGTATCTTTGTGTCCAGGCCCTGGATCTCCTGCTGGCTGGCGGTGCTCATCAAAAAGCTATTCATTTGGGTCTTGAGGGTGTCGTCCACCTCGACATCGATATCGTAGCAGGCGGTCTGTTTGTTCTCCGCGCCGCTCTCAATGAAATGATTGATGACTATCGGATCTGGCGGATGGAGCAGCGGATTCAGACGCTGTGGTATCTCAGCGAATTTCATGCGCTGACAGCTGAAGATCTGCTCCAAATATTTGTCACAATTGATATACTCCCGCTCGTGGGCATCCTGCAGCTTATGCGTCTTGATGTACTGCCACAGCGCCGAGATGATGACGGGCCGCGTCTGTGTGTGCACGCCCAGCAGCCGGGCCAGGCGCGGATCCAGTTTGAACTGCAGCGGCTGGTAGTCGAGCAGCAGCAGGATGGTGCAGCGCACATTCCGATCGCCGGGCCGTTTCACCTGAAACCCGTCCGTTTCCTGTGTGGTATGTGTGCGATGCCATTCCACCAGATGATTATCCGGCCCATACAGCTCCTTGTCCAGTTCGATGACCAGCGACTTGAAGAACGACGAGAATTTGCGCTTGATCTTCGTATTGGGATCACCCTTGCCATCCTCCAGCAGACGCCCCTCCACACGCAGCTCCCAGGAGGCAACGGCGCCCTCGTCCCCATCATTGCTCGGCTCCTTGCTCGGGTAGAATGTATTCGAAATGAAGATGCGCAGCTTGCGCTTCTGCTTCATCGGCCGCTTGAGCGCCTCCTGTATGTCCAGGCGTTTGCGCATGATGGTGGCGTCCAGTTTGCGTTCAAATGTTAGCAGATCCATGTACGCCTGCGACTCCGGCACCAGGTCGCGCACCTTTTGGGGCAATATTTTGTCCGCCAATTTCTTCTTCTTTTTGGCGCCAGCTGCAAATTCGCCCTTGTTGGGACCGCTGTTCAGGCTACGCGACTCCGCCGAGCGTTTGCTGCCACCGCCGCCGCCAGCACCGCCGGAGCCGCTGCCGCGCAATCCGCTCTGGAAACTGGGCTGGGTGGTGCGCTGCAGCAGTGCGGGGCCGGGGCCAACGGGCGCGGTAACGCTGCCGGGCACTGGCTGCGTTGTATTCGGATGTAGCGGAAAGCCGCGTGGCTGCATGCAAAAAAGTGGGGGAAGGGGCGAAAAAAAAAACGAACAGTGTGAAAATTGGCAATTAATCGATGATTGATTTGCACTTACCGGGAAAGTGGTGCCGGTGACTGGTGGATAGGGACGCATGCCAGGCGATTGGGGTGGTGGCTGGTAGCGCGACTGCACCGGCGCTTGGCCAGGCGCAAAGCGTTGCGACATTTTTAATTCTGCTTTGCGTTAAATTACTTGGCAGTTGTTGCAGTTCAAGAAAATTACAACCTTTTTTATTACAACAACGCTGCGTCACAAAAAAAAAAGTCTGTAAAATGGCGTCGGACTTAGGGTTGTAATATATACAAAGTCGCTATCGATAGTTGGGCTGTTGAATAAATACCGACATATCGACATATACATATATTTGTCGATACTTTTACTTTAATGTTTTTTTTGTTTTGTAATAGCCATTTAAAATCGAGTTTTTTGGTCAAAATGCGTCATATATAATCTAAATCCATATTAATATATAAAAATATGTTTAATTCTTATCGATACACACCAAAGTGGTAAATTTTATAGATACCTGCTGTATTCGGTATTTTTGGGTATTTTATGCCTGCACAAGACGCGGTCACACTGACCGTGACTAGCGGCTTTGGCTGTCACAATTGTATCGATAAGCACCCAGTTGCTTGGCTTTTATTATTTTCGTTTAATACAAAAGTTGAAAGTTTTTGTTGTCGTAAGCAAAGCAGAGAAACGCAACGAGCACAGAATGGAGGAGGAATGGTGGCAAACCAATTTGCGTGAGCTAAATGCAAAGGGCAAGCGCATGGAGACGCTCACCAGTATGTTTACAAAAATTAACAAACAATCGGCCCTGCCGCGCCACATAATTGAGTCGCTGTTGCGCGCGCCGGCGCTCTACGAATGCGCCATCGTCGAGGATGCCGACAAAGAGCCGCTAGTGAATATGTCCACTGACTTTATACGCAGCTGCCTGGACCAGCTGCAGCTGGACATGAGCGATGCGAATCTGCCGCAGCTGCTCAACCCCGCACTGCATCATTCAAATCCCGCACTGCGTGCCTTGGTGCTCAACAATCTGCTAAAGGAGCTGCGCCGCCAGACTAACGACAGCGCAATACAGACGCTGCCCAGCAACGAGCTGCTCGTCTATGTGCTAGACGAGCTGCAACAGCCGGAGACGCAGTGCAGCGCCGCCGCCATCCAAATATTGACCATTGTGCTCAGCCAGTGGCTAAATGATGCCGGCGTCCAGTCCAAGCTAGTGCAGCTGCTGCAGCAGAACGAAGTGGTACGCTGTCGCGCCTACGAGTTGGGAGTCATGCTGGCCAAGCGCAGCGCCGACTCTCTCAGCTCCGTCGAGTTCATACTGGATGCAGCGCTCGGCGAGCTGGACAACGACGATGTGCTGCTGCAGGCGAGCGTGCTGGAGATACTGGTGCCTTTGGCCGAGCAGAATCACGGCCTCAGCTATATGGAGCGACGTCGTGTCTTCGACATCATCAGCAGTCGCGTGCAGCGCATCGAGGAGCATCCATTGGACACCCTGCTTATACCCAGCATCATGAAGTTCTTTGGCAAAGTGGCTGCGGTGCAGCCGCAAAAGATCATCGCCGGCTATCCGCACATGCTGGCCTGCTTGTTTGAGCTGCTGCAGTCCAGCGATGAGGCTGTCCTGCCCACGGCCATGGACACGCTGGCCAATCTGGCAAGCTCCGTGCAGGGCAAGAAGCTAATGCATGCCCAGTTCCAGCCGGCCATGCAGCAAACACTGCGCAAGTATGCCGACTACACCAGAAATCTCTCGCCGCCGCTGAAAATACGCTTGCTCAACTCTCTGGATATCATCTTTACCCAGGAGACGCCGGCCAGCTCTGAGCTGAGGTGCGCATGTGTTCGGGCTTAATGAGTAGCTGCCTCTGACTGTTTACTTCTCTTGTTTGTTGTCGCAGCTCCATTTTGAAGAACTGGTACGAGTGCTTCGCCAGTGGCCAGCAGCTGAGCCACATCATGGAGCTGCTGCACACACCGTTTCCCGATCTCCAGCTGGCCGCGCTGGGCCTGCTGAAGACCCTCTGCCAGTACCAATGGGGCATCAAAGCTGTGCAGGGCACAGCGGGTGCCATTGAGTTTTTGCTCTCGCGTCAGCCCGATCTGCACAAGGATGTCAAGTATCTGAAGTGGCAGATTATGGAGCAGCTGTCGGTCAGTAGCGAGTTCACGGCCACCGAAACGGTGCGCTTCACCGCTTATGTCAACGAGGGACCATATCATGTCCAGAGCAATGTCAACATTGCCACCGAGCCGCAGGGCAATCAGTAGCCACAGTTGCTATCACACCTGGTTAGCCGGACACCCACATCCACACTCACACACACACACACACCCTTAGCAATACAAGTAGCTGTGAATGCACTCAATTTTTGAGGTTATGCGCCTGCATTTACAGTTAAACAACATTTGAGGTTAGTTTTGGATTTCGTATTTAACCCTGTTGAAAAATCCATTATGAAAGAAAGATGTCTCCTTTTCCTTTTTGCGCAGCAAAATTCCAAATATATGCATTTAATTACACGTTTGTATATTTGATAGAATTATATTTAAATTTAACTATTTAGATCACATGTGGATAAAATCGCGCTGCTCAGTCCAAGTCGACCTACAGGTAGCTCATATGCCTGTGCGACATGCGCTTGCGCCCGGATCCGCCAATGCCGCCGCCGACGCCACCGCCACCGCCCAAATGCGCCAAACTGACGCTCAGGCCGGACTCGTAGCCGGTCTGCGTTTGGGAGCGCGTCTCATTGTTACCCAGCGAGCAGGTGGGCAGCGTGTGGCAATATCGGCGCAGCTGCTGCTTAAACGCGGCCGTTGTCAGCGTATAGAGCACCGGATTCAGCGCCGAGTTCACCGGCAGCACCAGCACCGCCAGCCAGGCGTACAGATCGGGCGAGATGGCACAGCCTAGAAGAGCACAGCATCAGTCAATCGGACGAGCCCACAAATGCGAGCGAGTAAGCGATATTGGTTTACCTGACAGTGCGGCCACTTTGACCACAATAATGGGCAGCCAGCAGGCGCAGTCCGTGGTCACAATGATGGCAAAACTGTAAGGAATAAGAAAAGCAGGCTAACATTGCAGTCGACTACACGATACTCTGTTCACGGCGTAAAAGCAGCTGCCAACCACCCGAAGAGACTCTACTTTGATTATTGGCTGGCTGCTTGTCAAACTGTAAGTAACAAGAATGACTTTCAAACTGTAGGCATAGAAACTATTGATTGTTTCTTGTAAAAATAATTCGGATCGGAGCATTACGCCCGAAGAATATCGCTTTGATAAATTCTTGTTAGCATTCTTGTCGGAACATTTCTATAAATTTCCATCTAAGAATATTCCTAAATAGGGAAATAACGAAAACCCACCTAAAATGGGGTAAAATTGTCTTAATGGATCAAGTTTTTTGAGTCGAACAAATATGGGTTTTTTTTTGTACTACAATGATGTCTATTCCATCTAAAATATGGGATATGTCAGTTAGAAGCTTTATACATAAAGTTTTATAACTACCAGAACATTTATTCTGGCAGGTCTTTTAAGAGTTTTTATGCAAAGCTACGTTCGCTTCTCCAAGATTCTCCTTTCAAAGAGTCCTAAGATAATTTGCCAGCCTAATAAGATAGATAATCTCCGCTGATTCCAGAAAGAAACAGAACTGCCAAGCACTTTATCAAAGCGTTCTCAGGCTTAACAACAAGTTAAAGTGTTTGTTAACTTTGATAGCAAGACGAGTAAACGTTTCTCAGTTGTTTGCAGACCCCTTTAATCTGTTGTGCAACACTATTTTGTAAGTGTTGCCACCTTTACTTTAGCTGTGCAGCAGTCAGGCCTTCTTTCAAGCTGTTGACAGAGGAAACGCGTCTCTCTAAGCTCGTGAGCTACCTTTGGGCAAGACTTGCCGCCAATTGACTCACCGCGTGGCCACCACACTCTCGCGCCCGCTGTGCGTGCTCCGCATTCCGCCGCCGGAGTCGCGTATCGCCTGCAGCATGCGCACGTACGAGAACAGTATGAATATCAGCGAGATCGTGTTGATGCAAATGAACAGCAGCGCCGAGTACTCCCAGCCCTGTCAAATAGCCGAGTTAAATACTTTCTATTCGATACCGCTTTGCATGCTCACCTTGGCGTAGGGATCGTGTATGTGTAGCGAGAGGCAGACGCCGTTGTTGCCGTAGAAATGGGCGCCAAAGTAGTCGTTGGGCAGCAGCGGGGCTGCGGCCAGTCCAAAGCTGATGCCCCACACGAGCAGCAGGCGCAGAACAATTCTGAAAGCGAAAAACTGGGCTATATAGCTGGCGTTTTACAACACTGCACACACAATTAATAGCGTTTCACAGCACTGCAGTGAGGCTGTGAATTATGTTCTACTGAATCTTCAATACTTTAAAAAAAGTTAAAGGCTTTGGGGAACTCAAGTACTTTTGTATTTGGTTCACGACTAGCAACAAAATCTCGCCTTTTGGTCAGACCCTTTTTTGCTCAAATATCGGGTTTCTTTTCACTTTGAACACACCAATCCTGATATATCATATATTTATTATGTTTAAATTGATTTTGAATTATCAAGTTATTCTGTTATCAGAAAATATTGTTTGGTTTAGATTAAGGTTCGACTAAATAAGTTGAATGTTCGTTTTATAGTATAGCCTGGGGTTCGAACCGGCGCTTATTCCATAGCCGGTTTAGAGCAATACTTTAAAGCACTTTAGCACTTTTTCAACATATTTTCATCCGAATCGCGTCTAAATTTTGAACTTACCGAATCTTTTCCGTATCGCGTGGCTTCAGTGGCCGTGTGACAGACATCAGGCGATCCCAGGTGACCAGGGTTAGCAGCAGTGTGGACGACTGACAGCTGAAGGTGCTCAGAAAGCCTGCAAACCGTAGGATTATATTGATGGATCAAAGGGGAACTTGTGCACAGTGCTACCTGCAAAGGCGCAGAGTCCGCTGTGCCGCCAGGATTCCTCGTGGCGAATGTACTGGCCGCGAAAGCTGATGTCCGCGCACGCGATGAGCGTCAGGTAGATGCCCATGAGAAAGTCACTGACCGCCAGGTGGCGCAAGTAAAGCGAATGCTCCACATTGCTGCGAGATTTGTAAAAATAACGGCCAGCCAGGACGAGCAGGTTGCCCACCACCGCAATCGAGGCCATGATCCAAACGCTGTGAAGAAACAAAGGCAAATATCTATTTAGATGAAACTGGATGACTGACTGTCAGATTGATGGACTGACTGACTGACTGCTAGAGCTGAAAAGCTGCATTTTTTACAGAACATGCGATGTGGGGGAAAACTTTCATTTGAGACGTCTTTCACACTTTTCACAAAATCCACCCAACGAGGTGGAAAATTGTGTTCAAAAGTTATGTGTTCACAGCTTAAAGTTTTTTCCGATAGTCTTAAAACTTATTTTCAAAGCGCGATATAAAAATGTAATGAATACGTAAAAAATTCTCGGAAAACTGTTATTCACAAAGATTGATGTGAAAATTCATGTGATACTTGTTTCGTAAATCCACTCCCCTGGGTGGAAAATTAAAAGTCAAAGATTTTGGGCTTACAGTTTTCGAAAATTCCACTCACACATGTGAAAAATTGGCGGAAAACGGTTGCATGTTATCTTTTCGTATCAATACGATCGTCTTATTACTGTTTTTCAAAGGTCCCTGGGTCTTAATTCGATGGACTCCAACCCCGCTTTCAAATATCTATGCCAAAACTATCAAGAGACGTGGAATAAGTTTTCATGTTGATTTAAATGTTACTTGAGCCGCGCAACGCCGGGTTAGCACTCAACTGGTGTAAAATACCAATTTAGGCCTAAAGTAGAAGGTCGGTCGGGAAATTTGAACTTTCCACGGGCGGAAAATGGGTGGAATGGGCGGTTTGCTGATAATTGAAAGCATAAAACTTGAAATTAAAAAAAAACGGCCGGAAAATACCCGTAAGTTGTATACAAATATATATAGAGAGGGATGAATTGAGAGGAAGAGAGAAGGGGTAAATGATAGATAAAGAGACAGAGAGAGAAAGAGAGAGCGAGAGGAAGCGCCCACAGTGCGTATGCAAACGGAATATCAATTGCCATAAATTTAGGCAATTAAAGCAAATTTAAGTGCCCAAAAGACGTCGCCCCCCGCCTCAAACCCCTACTCAATGTTATTGGCCAATTAGGTGTAGCCGCCTTTGTGCCACAGAGTGTGTGTTCTTGTTGTGTGTGTGTGTGTTTGTGTGTGTGGCGCACAATTGTCAAGTGGCTGGGGTGCTCATTATTGCAGTCATAGTTGCTGCCGTTTGTTCGTGGAATTATGATTTGGTTGCCAGGACACGGCGCACACTAGTAGTTGGCATTCCGCATCCGCCAGCTGCTGTCGAGGACAATTGTGAATGCTTCCCTACTACTTACGATGATTGCCAAGATAGTGTGCGGGGCTGGGGGTGGAAGAAGGTAGGGTTGGAAAGTGGTAGCCAGTTAGCAATGGGACTGTAATTTATGCCAGCTTCAAGTGTCCTGTCATCCATTCATTTGCCTTACAAGCAAAAATCATGACACGTTGCTGGGTTAATGCTAAAGTAAAGACAAGAAGTTCTTCCCACACACCAGTAATTGTGATTGAATGACACTTGGCTAAAGTGAAGCTTAAAGTTGAGCTTTGAAGAGCGATTGCTTAGAGCAAGAGAAAGCGGGAGCTTAATTTAATTGCATACAGAGCTTTTCAGCAAGCTTTTTCTTGTTGAAGGAGCTTAATTGTACACGTTGCAATAAATATATTTACATTTTTATAAGTCTTTTGTAGTGATTCTGAGCTTTCAGTTTGAGAATAAGCTTAAGTTTAAAAAGGTGCTTGATTACACTTTTCATACAACAATTGTAGCCTGCAACCTGTGAGCTATAAGTCTTAAGCTGTACTTTTAGTTTAAGCTGAATCTTCATTTAAATCCCCAATCGTCATTTATATTTTCGAGCCTTGGAGTTAGCTTTTAGCTGAAGTGCAAGCTTTCAAGTTAAAAATATGCTTGATTGTGAGGGAAACATGAGAAAACGGTTCTCAGTTGTTTGCAAACACTCTTAAGCTGTTGTGCAACACTATTTTGTAAGGGTTGCCACCACCTGCATTGTGGTTACTTTAGCTGTGCAGAAGTTAGGCCTTCTTGCAAGCTGATGACAGAGTGAAACGCGTTTAAATGCCTTTTAAAAGTGGATATGCAACTATTTATATATACATATATAATGATGTGTGTGTGTGTGCGGCATCCTCAGCTCGAAGTTCTTACGTGCGTTCAAATATCGCCTAAAATTGGCGGACAAAATTCGAGAAGGCGGACAAAGTGCGGCTCGAATTGGCAGGAGGTGGGAATAATGACACCTCCCGCCAGGCAGGGCAGATAAAGCGGAAAAAACAAACAAAGCACTGTGAAAAAGTATTAAATTTATATGAAAGCGTCAACTGAAAAAAAAAAACAAGTAGGAATGGTTATATTCAGCACACCGACAATCAAATATACTTGTAGAAAGGTGGAAATACTTCAGAGGACAAGCTTTCCGATTTTTCAAATAATACTCACTATGTTGTATATATATCATATGATATTGAAGTTAAGTCCTGCAAATATGCTACGAGAATGACGATCCTCGCAATTGTCGAATTTGGTGTAGATATCTTGAAAACAAGAGAAGTTTAGCTGAAAATACAAATGGATTTCCGGCCGAGCTCTACTAATATTTACATTTAAGGAGCATGCTGGATCTTCTTAGTGCCAAGTTTGGTTCAGATATCTAGAGAAGATGTCCTTTCAGCTATATATCAGCTATGAGGTATAGGGATCCGATAAAGTTTTATATATGTACTGTTCAATCGCTGAAGCTTTAAGACAGAGTGCGAAGAAACTAGCAGCAGGACAGATAACGTGGCTATATCAACACTTCTTTTGATGCTGATCAGGAATATACACATATACTCGGAGCTGGAAATGTCTGGTACTCAGGACAGCTTTACAATACCCTCTACAAGGGTATACAAATAATGCAGCAGGCACATCCCTTGGCTGTCCAACGTGCAGGCATTCGCAGTCATGTAGACACACACACAGACACACGCACACCCACTCTAGTTGTATCTGGTGATATTTGCTTTGCAGCTTATGCGAACAGGAAAATGAGTAGACGAACGAGTAGTCGAATGAGTGTACTCAAACACACACTCAAACTCACATTAGACAACTTGCCAGAGTTGGCAGCGGGCGTGTTGCGGGGACTTTTAAGGAGCAGGCCGAAGGAAAAATGAAAAACTCAAAACTCAGACAGCACGCAGAGCTTGTAAATGTAAGCAAAACAAACAAACAAACTGAAGGAAAACCGAAGGAAAAACGTAATTTTCATTTTCACACAAGGCAATGCCACAGTGGGCATGGACGGGGGGCGTGGCAGTTGGCATCGTCTACATTAGCCACTCACGTCCCGCTGTGGCAGGGCAGGCAGCAACCAGATAATCACTCAGTCACGTTAGCAGCTGATGACAAGTGCTGCCCGTCCGCTCGTCTGTCGTCCGTTTCCCAGTAAATGAAAATGCCAAATGGAAAAGGCGTTTTTCCCAGTTTCGACTGCAACTCCAACAATGCAATTGGCGCCCAACATAGGGCGCGGAATATATCTATAAAAGAATCACTAACTAGCTTGGATCTTAAATTAGCCAGGTGGACATCATTTTTTATATGGTCAACTATGATATATATGAGGGCACAAGTGTTTATAATAACAATAATAATGATAACAATGATGATAATAGCAATGATATTCAAAATGATATTAATGGGAATGTTAATATCATTATTATTATCATTATCATTATCATTATCATTATCATTATCATTATCATTATCATTATCATTATCATTATCATTATCATTATCATCATCATTATCATTATTATCATTATCATTATCATTATCATTATCATTATCATTATCATTATCATTATCATTATCATTATCATTATCATTATCATTATCATTATTGATTATAAATGTTGTTAGAAAAAGTATTTTAATTAAACGAAAAAGACTTCAGAAAAGACAGAATTTTCGGCTCAATACTTCGTTTAATTAAAAACTATGCCTAAAAGGATTCGGGCTGTAGTTAAGTGATTAAATGCTCACTCTTAACTTTGGCCTGAATGGAACCGAGCTCCTTTTCTTATTTTTTTTTGTAATATGTGTAGTTTGTTGATGTTGAGGGGAAACAAAGTAGGAAGCTGGCAGCAGGCAATGTGCGGAGCATTTGTTGTCAAATGGTATCAGTGTATAGTCAAGTCCAGTCATAATATTATATGTACATTGTCGTACTCAAATCGAGAAATAGTCTAAATTTTCAAATTGCATTTACTGTAAGTGGTCGGCATGCATTTTGAGTATCAGCGTCAAAATCAAGAGCTCAGCGCCGTCGTGGATCTGGATCTGGTTGTGCGCAATCGAGGCGGGGGCGTGCCATGCGCCGGCCGCAACGGTCTAATGGTGGAGCCGCCATCGACAGCCCCATTGGGCAGCACGGACCATCAGCACCAGATGCGATTGCTGGTGTTGCGCGAACGCCTGCGCCGTGCCCTCTACAATTGAGCGTCGGGTTGTTCGGCCGTCGATGTTGCAGCCAAATGAATTTCGCCAATGTCATGAAATAGACCAACAACAGCAGCAGCAGCAACAACAACAACAACAACAACAGCAACAACAGCACGACAACAACATAACAACGAAAAAACAACTACGAAAACAACATACAACAAAAACAACAAGAAGAACAAGAAGAACAAGAACACATTCTCAAATTCAAATACAAACATTAAGGCGAAAAACAATCCATAAATTGTTTTACTTAAAACCAATCCTTCGCTTGCCTAATTCAAATTAATAACTGTTGCCCATTCTCATTCTCTCGCATTCTCGCTCTCTCTCATTCTCTCCCCCCTACTTGAAACAATGTGAAAATCTCAAGTGTATGCCGTTTAATTGAGTTCAAAGCCAACTGTCTAGTTCTGCAATACTTCCAACTATGAATTAAGTGTTGTAAAACGCTTGATTAAATTAGAAAAACTTTCTCAACAGTCGTTAGGTATTTGGAGCTAGCCAGTGTGGGTAATTGTTTAGGAATTGAATATTGAACTTTACAACTTTGCAACTTTGCGAGTATTTGGTATTTGGATTTACTATAAAAATATGTTAAATATAAATATATATATTCCAATATTAAGAAATGGAATTTTGGAAATGCTTTTCGCTTAGATCTTATCAACCGAAGACCCATCAACTTTTTAATTCTTTTTTTATAACCTGAACTTATTGAAAATGGTTAAAATGGGGCAAAGCATGAATTCAGCTTTATCCAACAGTATCTGCCAAATAATTGCCCCGAACGAAGCACGAATGGGTCTAGCAAAAACAATATGCAAAACACATAAACATAAAGCTAAGCAAAATGGTAAACAATAAACATAAACATAAACATAAAAGAGGGCGTCGTAAGTTGCACATTGCCTGCTGAGTTGCAACCAAGGATTTGAGGATGAAGCTGGCTCAGCCAGCGCGGGGGAAGGTGACAGGTGGCCAGGGGGGTCAGGGGGTCAGGCACTTACCTGCCGCGCAGTAGCTGGTTATCGAGCAGATGAAAGGTGCTGCTGATGCCATCGCCGCGGGGATCACAAACGCGTACATGCAGCGCGGCGCGGCACAAATGGAACCACGAGAAGTAGCTGCAAGACAGAGGGAGAGTGAGTGAGAGTGAGAGAGTGAGAGAGAGAGAGTGAGAGAGAGAGTGAGAGAGAGAGAGAGAGAGAGAGAGAGAGAGCGGCATGGCAATTACAAACAGAACATGTTGTTCTTTAGTCGGCTGTAGCCGACTGCGGCATACTCTGCTCACAGTCTAATAACAGTTCAAAGTCAATTGAAACGACTCTGTTTGTCTTTTTACCAGGATTGCAAAACCTTAAAAGATTTCTTGTTGGTTCGCATTACGCGCTGTCTTTAAGTTCGCTTTATGGTTGAACCAACGTGCTGGTTCAAACCTTGATTTTGTCGTAAATTGTCCACATTTTAATGATAATTCCCGTTCTATCAAAAATAATGCTATCGTAGTTACTAAATGAGCCCTGAATATATATATATATATGCATTGGAACAGAAAAGTCTTGGCATTCATTAAAGGAGATTTTCAGCAAGTAAAAAGTGCAATCGAAGAGTCGTCTCTTACGGACAGAACACAGAGCTAATATGCGCATATTCAGTTTGTGAACAGAGTATTAAAGAAGGTGTAGCTTATTAATGCGCTCTTACGTGGTGTTTATATAGTATATACTTACATAAAGTCAAGACTGCTCAGATTTTGCAGCACAGCCGGCTCGAGGGTCTTAAAGCGATTTCCAGTTAGCAGCAGGGAGCTGAGATTCTCCAGACAGTCGAAGGCGTGCAAATCGAATTTCTCGATTTGGTTCTCATTCAAATGCCTGACGAAGAAGTTATGTCAAGGTGTGAGTGTGTGCAGGTGTGCGAGTGTGTTTGTGTGTTTGTGTGTGGGGCTGCCGCTAAGCATGCAACAACTTTTGGCCACGTCGCTGCAGAAGTTTTATCATTAAAGTTGCAGCTGTGCCGCGGCCATTTGTTGCATGTGGCTGGCCAGAGAAAAAGAGAGAGAGAGAGAGAGAGAGAGAGAGGGAGAGAGAGAGAGAGCTGCTGCTGCTGCTGCTGCTCAATATGCATTGGCGAAAGACAAACAAAACTAGTTTGTCTGTCATTTTTTCTAATATTTCTTTTCCATTTTCTTTTATTTTCTTTCATTTGCCTTTTTTCAGGCCACATTCCAGTTGAATCGCTTGGCGTGTCCCTTTTGTCTGTCATTATTGATAAATGAAATTCCTCAAGCGCAAGCTACACAAACACAAAAAACATTCACAGCCCTTCCCCCCGTCCCATACTTCCCCCTGTTTTTGTCGCAAAAGCCTAAGCCTAACCAAATTGAAAAACTCGCAGGCCAGATAAGCCGCGACAGATTTTTATATGCCTATCAGACGCTTCGCATTTTCTCTTGTCCCAAAAAAATTTCTTTCAAATACCCTGCAGAAAATTATACACAGACGGGGCATGCGCGACGCCTGAATTACATTTGCAATGTCTAATTATCAATGTACTGACCATTTTTGCAGCTAATTACTTTTGCTGTTACATTTAATTACTTTCTTTGCTCAAATAATTACTAAAGTATTTGGAATTTATTCAGCTTTTCACATCATATAACGCCAGTTGATAAATATGTTGGGCATAATAACCTAAGTATTTAAAGTAATTAATTAATGAATAAGTAATTAACTTTATAAACTTATAATTACTCGAGTAGTTAAATAGCTCAGTATAAGTTATTCCTAGGCATGGCCCAAAAGTAAATTGACTGTGGTTCGGTGACACGCCTTTTAACTAAGCTCATACGATTTACAGGGTATTTGTATAGTCTGTCAGTTTAATTGATTGCAGTGCTTGCAGGCTCAAGTGGATTTGCTTCGCCGTCTTTTTCATTCACGTTTCTTGCTTTTACTTGTCTAACTTGCCCACTCACAGGGTATTCGCATAGTCAGTCAGGTTAGTTGACTGTTCTCTCTTCTTGTTATTGTTTTTCAATTTGTTGTTGCTGTTGTTGTTGTTACTTACAAGCCTTGTAGATAGCTGAGGTTGCAAAAGGTTCCGTCGCGTATGTAGGACAATTGATTGCCGGCCAGAAATCTGTAAGCGTAAATGTAACAAAAATTTCTGCAATGTGAACTATGTGTGGGGCGAAGGACACCTCCGTCCATCACCAGCCCCTCTGCGGTAACCAACCCCTCCCTGAATACTTACAAGTGCCGCAGCTGGGGAAATGTGAACGTGTTGGCCGCAATGCTGGAAATTTGGTTGTGCGCCAGCGACAAAGTGTGCAAATGTACCAAATTGCTGGGAAACATGCCCGGTCGTAGCTGCTGCAAGCGATTATTGTTCAGATAGCTAAAGGGAACGAGAAGAAGTGAAAGATATAGACCGGCGAATCGAAGGGACTTCAAGCTGGCGTCCACTTACAGCACCTCCAAGCTGTGTAGCTGAGCAAAGACCTGCGCCTCAAAGTGTGATATCAGATTGCCGCGCAGATCGCTATTGGGAGGGAGCAGGGCAGCAATTAGCGAGAAGTTCGCAGGATTCGAGCCATACTTACAGATCCTCCAAGTGCTGCAGATAACGAAAATCGCCGCTGCCCAGGCTTCTCAGTTGATTGCGTGCCAAAATTCTGCAGGTGATTCAAGATTCAAGACAACTTTACCACATTAGACATAATGTTATTTTAATGCGCCCAACAGACAGTCGACAAAAACAATGACAGATAGGGCCAGCGGGAGGAGTACCCGACTAGCAGATACCCTGCCTCTAAACTTCCCAACTTCCTACGGTACGAATTCTATTCTGTTCTATTCTTGCATAACTTCGGCCTTTATTGTTCGAAAAAACTATGATACTCTATGATACCCCTTCTTTGGCCACTATGCAATGGCTACAGGGTATTATAGAGAGTGTCAGAGAGGGAGACAGCATTTTAATAAGCCATTAAATGCAACTCTGCGCCCATCGCCCACTGCCACGCCTTGACTGGGCCAAGCTAAATGTCAACGCGGCGAGCTGCTAAAATTTAAAACCGACTGCGGCCAATGCCAGCAGCAGCTGTGCCTCCGCTGCAGTCGCCACCCCCCTCCCCCCCCCCCCCCCCTCCCATCAACTGACTTAAACCAAGTCGTCCCCCCCTGGCACAAACTGTAACTGAGTTGTTTATGTGCTTTTGTTTTGTTTTCTATTTTAGTTTCCTGTGTCACCGTCTGCTCTTGTCCGTTTTTGGGCTGCTCTATCCGAACACCGGAACTGTGCCACGCCCACGGCCACATCCAGAACGCCCAAAAACTTTTGACTGCGTGTGCTAATATTTTTATTATGCACACATCTACATCTAGTCGATTTTGCAAGCCCTCGCCTCGCTCCAACCAAAAAAAAAACCGCAGCAAGAGCTGAACCTCAGCCAGGGCAAGACAATGGCCCACTTTATGGCCCCAACTGGCAAACGGTGCGTATACGCAACAATAGCTGCACACACACACACATAATTATTATCTGCTGTTATTCATCTACACACACACACACATGGGCAGGCAGAGCCGCCCACATGATGATACAATCAACAATTGTGGGTGCACATAACTGTCTCTGCTCCTGTGTGCAATATTTCCACTGCATGTGTGTGTGTGTGCGTGTGTGTGTGTGTGCCTGCAAGTCCTTATCTCTGCGCATATTATATATCTACAGTTATTGGCAATTACAGCTTTTTTCGTTCCACCTCCAGCCCGACCCGTTAATAAGCACATTTGTTATGTGCAGCCTGCCTAAAAAGTTTTGGTCCAGCCCAATTGCGTACGTACAGTTGGGCACAAAAGCTGCCACGGCATGTGTTGGCAAGCATATTAAATCGCCTATCCTCCAATCGGGTTTCAATTCAATTTAAATAATAAGAATTTAGGAAATACTTTCGTATCAATTTGGTTAAACAAAGTTAATTTAAATTAAAGTAAGGCAATTGAATCCGAACAAAAATGGGTAAAAAGTATATAATATTATATGTATATATATAATGTATATAATAGTGCTTTGACCCTAGAAAGTGTCCATATATATGCTCGATCAGTTCGATGAGTCTGCCTCAATCTTGTAAGCTAGGGACGTGAAAAATATAGTTTCGTCTACCAAGCGCAGCACGAGCTTCTCATTTGCTCCTCGATAACTGTTCTTTGCATAATATCGATATATATCGATTTTAAGACATATTCTTTTAAGCATAACTCGCAGATTCTAAGGGCTACAAACGCCAAACTTGATATCTAGTTATCATTTAGTAGGCGCAGCCTAAGAATCTTCCCATTCTCCCACAAAATGCAATCAAAGCCTAATCCTTAATTGGTCGAGCCTTTCGCTTTGGTCTATGCACACCCTTTCTTTTGATAGGGTTTTCGGCTTTGCTTGTTATTGCCTAATATCAGCTAAGCCTTGATTTGATATATGTATGTGTACATATATACATAAAATAATATTGTAGAATTTGCATAAAAAATGCGTGATATTGTGAAACTAGAATTAAATGAACTTTTGCTGCTGTAAATTAAACGAAAGCGGGTTACCTAAATAGTCTTTTTTATACCCTTACAGAGGGTATTATGCTTTTCTCAACATATATGCAACGCATAGAAGAGCACATATCCGACCCCATAAAGAATATATACTCTAGATCAGCATCAACAGCCGACTTGATAGAGTCTTGTCCATCTGTCCGTCCGTCTGTTTGTCTGTCCTTTTGTCCGATTGTCTGTTTCATAGGTTCGTCTTTCTGTGCAGGAAGTATATAAGGCGAATCCGGCCGGATCGGTCCACTATATCATATAGCTGCCATGGAAAGGATCGGTCGAAAACTAGGTTCTTGTATGAAGAACTTATTTTTGTATCAAAATATCTTGACTAAACTCGGCATTTACTATATAAACTGTGCTACTTATACATGTGTCAAGTCTTATCAAGATCGACCTTATATATCAAATAGCTCCATAGGAAGAATCGATGGAAAAATTTGTTATCCTAGATATTTTCATCAAACTCCGCAATCACGTGCTTCACGTTTCTCACATATCTGCAAAAGCCATAGGCCAAATGTTTGAAAGGGTATTAAATCTTCGGCGTGGCGTTGATATACTTATGCTCTCGTGTTTTTTTTTCTCTTTTGACAATTCTATGCAATTTATGTTTATTTTATTGGCGAGCGCCACATAAATAGTGAATGCCTTAATATTTATAACAAACTAATGTAAAATTCCAACTAAAACCTTTTTTTGTTGCGAATGGCAAATGTCAAATGCGTTGCCCAAAGCTAATAAACAAGCCAAAGCAGTTCATATTTATGTGTTAATTATGTGAAGAGTGCGTAAAAAAGGGCTTTAAAAAATACTGCAACACACGCGGCGTATGCGCAATTTGCCAATGCAATAGCTTTCAATAGACTTGGCTGAGGCCTGGGCTCATTGCAGAGCTTCCTAAATAAAATTTGATACCGATATAGGATATATACACTCCATATATTGTGAAATCATTTGGATTAGTTCACTATATAATATGTGAACCAACTTTTCCCTTGTTCCCTCCGATTGTATGAAAAAAGCACAAGTAAAGCTCATAAATGCTGAGCTTGAGCAAAATATCTTAGAGTGCAGAATATTTTGCCCTAAAAAAACTAATTTTTTAACCGATTCTTCCAATAGATATATATAATTTAGTAATGCGGTCTTGATCTTGAGCATAGTTTGAGTAGAAAATGACGAATTTTGATTAGATATATTGAAAAACGTTTGCCACACAAGGACCGATCTCTCCTAGTTCAGCTATATGATATAGTGGTCCGTTCCCATAGCTCTCAAATTGAGAGACAATTCGCATTGAAACAGACTGTCGGACAGATGGATATGGCTGTATCAACTTGGCTGTTGATGCTGATCTAGAATATACCTTGTGGGATCGGAAATGTCTCCCTTTGTGTATATTTCAGATTGCTTTATATACTTATATGTAGTTATAGTTGTCATAGTTGTATTAAGTTATATTAAGACTAGTTCGAGCCTTTATCTGGATAACTTTTCTGAGCAGCTAACCATATATAATATTAAAACTTAAGGTACTTAAGTCCCGGCAAATGCAAACTCTTCAGTTATTAAAAAGCGCATAAGAGCAACGGTAAATTAAGCATAAAGTGTGACCAAAGGCGCACAGTTAACGGTTAATAATGCGAATAATTATAAATTAATAGGTAATAATACTCACAAAATGCGCAATTGATTGCCCGGCGCAAAGAAATGCTCTGGTAAACGCGATAATTCATTATCGTCCATATAACTGCAAAAGAAAAACAAAAATGGGGGAGGCAAAAGTCAATGTAGAACAAGAGTAGTGCAAGTCAGTGTGTGGCAGTCGGGTATAACCGACTGCGCAATACGCGTTCCCAGTTTTCCAAAAAAATGTAAAATAATTATTTGTTTTGGATTCATAAAACGATGTTAAGAGAAGCTCAGCAGAAATGTTCATTCAAAATTTGCTTACTCTGGTCACTCTTAAATCGTAAAGCTTGTCAATTTTCATGATGGTATGGCAACGTCTTTTATGGGACAGGCACAATATACTCTTTTACAAGCTGTGAACAGGGTATTTAAATTGCCAACTTCAACGTGGACGTTGCCATATTATTCTGTAATTTTACTTGTTTCGGATAATTGAACGGACGGACAGATAAACTGACTGCCGGACATTACACAAAGCCAATATACTCTGCTGCACATTGTGTATAGGGTATACAAATTATTAGCTTGCGCGTGGGTGCTGCCATATTTTCTTATATTAAGATTAATTGTTATCTGACTCAGATGAACGGAAGCCAACATACTCTTCTGCGCATTGTGAACAGTGTATACAAATTGTTTGCTTTCAGAGAGGAAGGCCAATTTGAAGAGGCAGCCGCCGCAGCGGCAGCAACAAATAAATAAAGAGCACATAAATAATGAGACTTAATTATGAGTTATGCCCCAACCAACAGCCTGCCCCAGCCAATAGCAGCACCCCACCCCTCTCCCCCGCTGGAACATATACTTACAGTGTCTTTAGTGGAATGGCGGCCAGTCTATCGAATGCATGAGAGGCAATCTCACGGATTGCGCAGAGCTTGAGCACCCTGCGTAAAAGGGCGAGTAGAGAAATAGATACAGATACAGATACAAATAAAGATGCAGATACAGATACAGATACAGATGAAGAGCAGGATACGTGTGCGCACACATGGATACAACAATGAATAAAACTTAATAAATATGAAATTCAATTGTCAAGTTTTGCCGCACACTGAAAATGCGGCTGACGGCGAAAAACAAAAACTTCAAGCTAAGAAACGCAAACAATTTATTTATCTCTTTCTCTTTCTTTATTCCAAACCTAACAAAAAATAGAAGCTGGGCGTTTCTTGAGGCGTTTGTGAGCAACAGGAAAGCAACTCGCACAAATTCAGAAATATTCCATTTTCAGAGCGAAAACTTTGTTAAAGTGCGTCAGAAATCGTTTAAGCTGAATGAAGGCTTTTCATTCTTTTTATTAATTCCCTTGCTTGCTTGAAACTAAGTGCAGGGTATCTGCCAGTCACGAATGCTATTCGTTGTTTACAGCCCCTTTTCCTAAGTGCATGGTAGCTGCTTTTAAGCAGGCTACAGGGTATTAACCAGTCTAGCATACTCCACTGTCGAGCTCTTCTGTGTTGACACTTCTTCATTGTTTAGGCTTAGAATTTTCTTTTAGTTTTTAACTTTCACTATTTACAGGGTATTATCGCGTCTGGAAGTCTTGTATTTATGTTGCTTACTTTTCTGTTACTTCTAGGGCAAAGGGCTCTTAAGCTAGCTACTGGGTATCTACCAGTCATGTACTTTTTCTAAAGTCATCCACTGAGAAGTTGGGCATGTTTTTGCTGATGCCCAAAGCAGCTCACGTGCACTCAAAATTTCGCACAGGGTATCGTCTAGTCGGAAAATGTTGTGTGGTTTCATAGCCTCTCATTGTTAACTCCCACACACTTTTTGATTATAACTGGAACGCATTTGCTTTGACAGCCTGCGGTCAATTTAATTTTTACAAATGTCCGACGGCCCACACGGACGCCTCAGCCGGAGGCGCCGCGTCATCTTTGCGTCTTTTCGATTCCCATGCGATATAATTGGGGTGTCGCCGGAATTTGTCAATTTCAAAAACGAGAGGATCCGCAACCAGATGGCAACACTTGACAGCGGATTACGCAGATGCGGCTCAAGTGCAGGCCAAAAGGAGGCCAGATGGTGGGCGTGTCCGTGTCCATGTGCGTCCGTATGTGGGCGGCTGTGGGAGGTTGCGTTAGGGGGTGTGGTCAGGCAGAAACTGTCCCAGTGATGGATATCCAAGTGCTTAGGCTTAAGCAATGTGCCCAATAGGCAATATACTCGTAGCCAAGATGGATAAAGCGATTAACTACAAAGTCTGGCAACGCAGACCGTAGCTAATGAATCAACTATGGCAACACTGAGAGAAAATCCTACGTAATCTATCGAATCTTTAGGAATTTAAGCTGAATATTGAATCTAAAAACTTGATTTGTTTATTGGAGCTGCCTCGACGAAGCTCTCACTCTTGCTCCTTCACTTTTTCTCTATCTTCCTCCTTCCTTCTTTATTCTTTTTCTTCTCCCTTCTCTCTCTCAATCCATTCGTTTGTAAATTACTTAAGATTTTAAGCTTTCATTTTTCTCGAGATCGAATTATGTCTTTGGATACCTTTCTTTCTATGTCCCTCTTTCTTTCTTCTCAATCCAATCTGTCAGCCCCTTTCTATAGCCTCTCTTATTATTTTTCTCTCTCCCTGTATATCTTATGGAACGGAAAGCAAACAACTTCCTCTCATTGTCTCCCTTTTTCCTTATCCCTTTCTGTCTAAGCACATAACATGTTAAGCTCTGTCCTTGTTGTAATCAAACTTTGTCTTCGTGTCTTTCTCTTTCTCCCTATGTCTCTCTGTCCTTAAACGTCTTCATTTGCTATGATCAAACCATTTATATGGCTCTCTTTATCTCGCTTTTAAGACGCTCTCCCATTCTTTCTCTTTTTTTCTTGGCCTCGCTCTCACTTCCAGCTTTTTTCTCTTGCGCAGTCACTCTCCCGTCTCTTTAGCCTGTTCATCAAGAAATTAGTTACAAAATTTACTCTCCTAGGGCCTTATACTGCCCTTTCTTGTAATCTAGTGCCTAGTTAAAACTCTCTCCATCTCTCGCAAAAACACGCCCCACTCGAATCGACTGCGAGGCGTTAAATTTAAGCCAAATTTGATAAGTTTAGCTACTCGGAGCGCTTTTCATATTTTCATCTGTGGATAAGTTTTCGGGTGTTTTGCTTTTCTTTTGTTTCTTTTTAGCAGTGTTAACGAAGCGTCTCACATTTTGTCGTATGTTAAAACGGTTTTACGGCTTTAGCCTGGTCGCAGAGAGTGTCCTTTAACACAGTAGCACATAAACTGCAACCGGCTGCAAAACACGATACGAGCTGTCTGCCATATCTCCATGAAACCCCCACCCTGCCACCCTGTTCCCCTGTCCCCCTGTCCCCCTGTCCCGCCTGCCCTTCGCCCCACCCTTACATGCAGTCGAGCTGTGTGCGTAATTTGTATGTGCGCCAGCGTGTGGCTGCTTAAAGGACACAGCAGGAGGCTAATATCTGGGACTGTATCTTAAAATTTCAACAGCTAAACGCAAGCATCCACAATTGGTTGGCTTCTGGTCGCCGGGCGCTTGAATTTCGATTTTAACGAGGCTTTAGCCGGAGCTTTACGGGCTCCGACTTACAGCTGGCGTCCATTACTCACAGGCTCTCCACCGCGGGCAGCCCGCCGAAGAAGGTTTCGTCGATGAGGCCAAAATTGTTGCCCGTCAGATCGCTGTGGATAAGAAAAGGAAAAGAGAATCCCCCAATTTAATTTGAAATCAATTGGTTCATTTCCGTAAAGACAGTATTACAAATATTCTTACAACCTATAAAATATTGAAGTTTACTTGAATGGGCTTGATAATAAAGGAAATGTATCAAATGTGTAGTGAGAAAAGGCATGCAAAGTAAGTGGATTTAGAACGTAAATAAAGTGGGCAACAATATGCAAGGCCTTGGAATATAAAGATAATTCATAATTGACAATCCACAAAATACTAAAGTCTATTTAAATGGGCTGTTTACCTAATGAAATATATACAAATTGTGCTGAGAAAAGGCATGAAAAGTAAGTGCATTTGGAACGTTGATAAGCTGTTAACATGAAGTGAAGTGTATCAGACCTTGGGATATAAACGGAATTCTTATTTTCTAGAAATGATTTAAGCATCTGTAAATGTGCTTTATACAAATATAAATATGCAGAAAGTGTCATGAGAAAAGCCATGAAAAGTAAGTGCATTTGGAATGGTGAAAAGTTGTGAACATAAAATAGGCAAAAATATGTAAAAGTTTGATATGAAAAGTGAACCTGACGGATATTTAACGCGAACAAAAAGCCTATATAGACTTCCTCAGCATAATTGGAGGACACAAGGATTAATGACTACCCTTCAAAATAGCATAAAAACATAAAAGAAAAAGGGCGAGCGTCAATTGAGGAAATAAAACTCAGATGCATGTAGTAAAAGTAAATTAATAAATTACCAGGAAACAAAAGAGCGGAAACTATAAAAAAGAACAAATTGTGAAATGGTTAAGCTAATAAAAAGCTTAAATAAAACAAAAACTGAAACGACTCTGAAACTCTGAAAATGAAAATATACATTATATACATTATGTGTACACGTTAAATTAATATAAAAGCTTAAGTTCCACTTCAAAGTCATCTTAGAGATATTTTTTTTATTAACCTGTCAAACTGCTTGTTAGTTGACAAGTAGCTTGATTGCATTTAACTAAAGATTTCAAATAGTGGCAACACCGTCTTGTAAAGTGCGTCACTTACAACTTTGTTAACCAACACTGCTTGGTGCTGCCATATCTAAAAATCCATGCCAGTTGGCAGCAAACAAAATTCTTACTATTTGCCAATAACTAATTGCAAGAGTTGCACATACATTTCCTTACCTTTACAGAAATATATGGCAACATGTTTGGGTACTTACAGGGTTGACAGATTGTTGGTGGGCAGCTGAGGTGGCAACGCCGTGAGCTGCTGAAAGCGGCACAAGATCTCGTTGCCGCGACACGGGCAGCTGAAGTTCTTCGCATTCGGCCAGTCTGCAAATGAATCAAAGCAGAAGAAAAGGGGGGAAAAAAAGAGAGAAAATGAAATTGCGAAACGAATTCGCGTTAACGGGATATTTACTGTGCGTCGGGATGGCCACATTACATTTGAGACAATTGTCATCAAGGATAATTGTCTTTTGAGTCTTTTAATTAAATGAATGAAAACTGAATGGAAACTTGCGAATTTACATGCGAATTTCTATTATTAAAATGCGAATGCGACTGACAGAAAGAGAGAGGGAGACAGAGAGAGGTACATAACCTCAATGGGCCAAGCGTCCGCTAGCTGGCGCCACTCGCACAGTGTTGTCGCTCTTAACGAGGCGCCTTAATTGCTTTGACCTTGTTGTTTTTCATGTTTTTATCAGTCATCGGGTACTCACAACACACGCCAATTGGTTTGTCATCCATGCCCTGGCGCCCGAACGAGCTCTTGCGGAACAAGTGATCCCAGTACTTGGCATCCACCTCATTGACACAGTTCCACTCGTCCGACCTATCATCACATTCCACACTTCCGTCGCAATTGGCGCGCTGCGGCACGCACTGGGCCGTCGTATTGCAGTGGAAATAGCCCGCCGGGCAATTGTCCTTCTCATCGGGCAGCAGTATACCCGAATCTAATTCATCCATCTCATCGGCCTCCGCATCTACCACGCTGCTGCCAAGCATAAACATCGTATTGCCTTGTCCAACACTGGACCTTATCGTGCCTCTTGACTGCTCAACACTGTACGTAATGCTCGCCAGGGTCATAGAAGTTAGCGAGAGCAGCGCGGCGAGAGCGCCCAGGCTTAAGAGTGCTGTCAACGAGAGAGAGAGAGGGAGAGAGAGAGAGAGAGAGAGAGAGAGAGAGAGAGAGAGAGAGAGAGAGAGAGAGAGAGAGAGAGAGAGAGAGAGAGAGAGAGTGTGAGTGAGTGAACGTGTTGAAAAGTTAGGTTAGTTCGAAGTTCTTGGTTTTTTATTAAATTAAAATGTAGCTCTTCTCTCAAGAATTGGTTCCCATTAATATTTAAAATGAAGCATAAAATCATTTCTCTATTTTAGGAAAATACAAGTTCTTCAATTCTGAACATTTTTTCGTAAAACCTTGTGAATGAAAGTGGACAGAAAATTGTGAAAAATATTTTGATGCTTCTGTAAATTTCCAGCATTTGCCTCTGAAAAAGTTTGGTTAGTTTTAAGGAATTAGGAAATTTGATTATTTGATTATTTGGACGAAAATAAGTCATAGGATTTTATTAAATATTATTACATTATATTACAAATATATATTAAAATAATTATATATATTTATTTGAAAACGCACAAACGCCAGCGAATGTTTTCCAAAAACAAAAAGCTGCCAATAGTCGAGGCCAAATATAATTATAAAACGCGTAGTAAATTATCAAAATTATTGATTTGGCAAATTCGAGAAAGCAGTTCCCATTGATCAGCTGCAGTTTCTCCGCCGAGTTGAATACAAAAATGCAAATTGAATTGGGGAAATCTCATGCTCAAGTAGGCCAAAACAAGTGGCTGTCTAAAAGCTTTTGGTCAACTCTAGGGCGACAGGAACGGCTGGCTTGGTTCACGCGGTCAGCTTGCGACATCTTCTATATTATGATAAAACTCTATACTCTATAATCAATCAAGTTTTTAACACATCTATTTTTGTAGGGTGTTCGCTAGTCGCATTGACAGTACTTCTTTTTGGAGGGCAGGCGAATGTTGTGTATTCAATCATTATTGATCCATCTATATAGTCAGTCAGACTTAAGCACAGCTCATCTGTCCGATTCTTTCTCAATCCCAACTGTTGCTATCTTGTTAGAACTATTCATATCGCTCCACTATATCCTATAGCTGAACTGTGAACAATCGATGGTTAATTAAGATATAATTAAGGAAAGCAAGTCTAGACATCTAATTTTGTATAATTGCTTCAAATATGAAATATGCCCATTTAATCGTATCTCTAGACATCTCAGCTAAGTCCGACTAAATCGGATTTGATGAGTTTTCGTCATGATCTTCTATAGATAACTTGCCTTTTCTGTTTTAATTGATTCGATTTATGAGCTTACGCCTGGGCGGCTTAGTTGCCTGAGCGTTGAACCAGCAAGCTGTGCGTTGCTGGTTCAAATTTAACAGCGTTTTTTTTCATTTTTATATTGCTTTATTTAGTTAAATATTTGAAATATTTTTATTTACAAGCGAAAGTCAATGTGTGCCTTAGTTGAGCGAGCGTCGAAACAGCAAGCTGCAAGACGCTGGTTCAAATTTTGCAGCAACTTTGAAAATGAGGCTTTTTTTCTCTACCAAAAGATATCGCAAAATGATCTCGGTACCGCTCACATTTCCATAGCCTTATCGTTTGGCATCAGTTTAATTACTGAAAATGGAAATGGAATTGCCTTTGTCGGTTAATTGGTTCCAATTCCATTTTCAATTCCAATTGCAGTGCCAGTTCCAGTTCCAGTTCCGCAGCACTTGGCGATTCATCATTTATCATTTTTAACGATTGCATTTAATGCAGAGCACTTTTTACGATGCATTTGCCAGATGGAGAATGGGGATTGGGAATGGGTATGGGAATGGGATTGGGGGCAATAGCCCCCCCACTCCCATTGCTGGATGCGTGTCGCAAATTGCGAATTGTCGGAATATGTGAATATGTAAAATATGCAATAAAATTGTTTGTAATAAAAATTATGCACAGTACATTTGGGCCACGGCTCAATGGACCGTGAAATGCTCCAAAGAGTCGCCTAGACCTTGAATATTTGGGCGCGAGAGGTGACGAGGGGTCGCGAGGTCGAGGGGCCCGAAGGAGACACTTTCCGCATCATCGATAAGCCATCAATGTGGGTGACTTTTTGATAGCTGCGCTGACAGCTGCTCGACCAAATGAGAATTTCAGAGTTCGGTTATAAAACAAAAACAGAAAGAAAACAAAAAAAAAATAAACAAAAAAGCAGCCAAAGGTAAACAAATAAATGTAAATCAGACAATGGGCAATAACAAACAACGGCAACATCAGCAACAAAAGCCAAATCGAATTACAGCCAAGCGAGAAGAAAATAAAGAACGGGCCGAGGCAATAAACAAAATTAATCATGTGAAAGCCGAGATATGACAATATATGAATACCCTACCCTACCCTACCCTACCCTGCCGTACCCTACCCGACCTCCACTCAAGCTTCAAGCTTTCAACTTACACATTAACGAGCACGAAACTTTTCCGGAATATTCGAATGTAACCCGCGGATAATTCAGAAGCAAAACACACGAATTTTCGTTTGCAGCATAAACAAATGAATTGTTAATAACGCAAATAAGTGAAAACAATAACAAAAACAAATCAAATTATACTCTGAGTCAAACATTTTTCGTATGCCCTGTATTAGGGGTATATTCCTATTATTAAAAATAAAGAAGAGAGTAGATAAAGTATTTAACAGTTTTACAAATTCGAGCTATGTTTATTTGAAGGCGGCCTAGAAAGCTGCAAAGGTTTTGAAAACGTTTACGAATGCGATGCAAAAAGGAATTGAAAACAGTTGTGTAACGCTCTTAAGAGAGAACAGAAGAGAAAGAGCATGAGAGAGAGAGAGAGAGTTAGCATGAGAGAGTGGGAGTATGAGGGAGAGAGCATGGGAGATAGTTAGTATGAGAGATAGAGGAAGAGAGAGAGAGAGCGAAAGTGAGCAAAAGAGAAAGACAGAGAAAGCATGCAAATACTAAAGTGCAATTCAATTAAAGTCAAATCTATTTTTGATATTTCTCGGGACAACAAGTTTTGTCGCCCGTGTTTTTAGGTCGAATATTTGATAAATGGGTTTATATAGAAATTGGTATAGATAGAAAAATGTTTATTAAAAAAATCTGTAAAAAAAAAATGAACCGCTATTTTTGCCGATTCCTTGACCCCAGTTCCAAGTAAGATCACGAGCTTGAATCGAAAATACTTTAAAATAATTAATTAGAAAAGAAAAGCTTGGCAGATATTTTAAGAATTCCTTATAAACTATTAAGGTATTTCAAAAAATCTTTATAATCTTTAGAATCTCTTTTCTATAATACAATTAGGCTAAGGTTCTCAAACACTTTATACAACTATAATGATTGCTCAATTGATCTGAAGTTTCCTGCTCAGCAGAGCAGAGAAAAACATCTGCATATTTTCGTTTATAAAAAGAGCAAAAAAAATAGCGCTGGGATTTGTTAAATATTTTCCATAATAAACAAAATAAAAAAGCATATTTATAATATGCTAAATAAACTATATGAAAGAGCGCACGAAACGGAAGCATAAAAAAAATGAACTGAAGTTTTTATTAACTAAATGATGACGTACGAAAGTGTTTCGAATACGGATTCATTTGCCGGTATCCTGACGCGAGTGTCAAACGTGTTGAACAAGTCGTAAGAGTCGCTGTGCGCTTATGGCCATGGCCAAAGACAATGTTAAGGCAAATAAACAACGGCCAGGCCAAGAATTAAAGATGCCAGCAATGGTAGCTGAAGGAATTGCATCAGCTCATAACTCAGTGACAGCAATGAAAGCCAAAGTCAGCGAATGGCAGCTGCAAGGCTGCAGCCCGGCTCGAGCGGGCGGCGGGCAGGAGCAGGCAACCCAGATGACTCCATAAAAGTGTAATTAAGCGGCGCCCGAGCTGGGAGCAGGGAGGAGCTCGGGCAAGCGACACGTGTTGCTAATGTGCTACCGTCCAGCCGGAAGGGGTTGAGGGGCGAACGCGTATCAGGCCAAGAACGCGTGTAAACAAGCTAAGCTCGAGATGTTTTCCCGCTGTTCCCCCTGTTCTCAGTTTCCCCTTTCCCCCAGCATTAGGATCCTGCGCCTGTGCCTGTTGCTGCTGCTGAGCCTGCGGACGTTTGTCAACACATTTGCCGGCAAATTGAAGTGTTTGCGGCGACCAAGCGCTGTGATTGATGAGCTGCACAGCGTAGGTGTGGGCGGTGGGTGGTGGGTGGTTGGGTGGTTGGGTGGTTGATAAGGGTCACAGCCTTGGCCTTGTCTCAACTTTGGCCCAAGTGAGCCCTGGCAGACGTCTTGCATTGCAACCAACTGTGTTCCAATCTATACACACACTCGCACACACTCGCACACACACTCTTGCCAGTCTGGGCCAAATTATCATTTGGCCATAAGCAAACAGAAGCGTTTCAACTTGGCTAACGCCATCAGCGCGGTCAATTGCCTGCTTTTGTTTATGTTTATTTCAAATAATTAAAGCAAATGCAATTCGGCAACTGCGCGGGTTGGGGAGGGGGGGCGGTTGGGGCGCACCACCAAAATAGAAACCGCAGCTATAAAGAATAAGGCAAACGATCGACTTGGGCCAATACCGAGACACACACACACACATAGAGAGAGAGAGGGACACACACATACACAAATGTGCGTCGGGTCGCCGCAGGTCGAATCGCTTGGGTTCTGGCTTCGAGCTGGTTCGTTCCGTTCGGGGCCATGTAAACAACTTGTCAAATTTGGTCGATTGTGGGTCGAGTGGCTGGCAAGTGGATCTTCCCTTTGGCCTGGCGCTTTCCATTTCGTCTGTCTTCCCAATGACGTCCGTTCTATTTCGGCATGTTCTCTGCTTTTGCGTTCCATGCTTTGCCAATTGCCACTAAATATACCTTAAAGTGGCCAAATGGCTAAATATTGCCTCAAGTGAAGCAACGAATTTCCTATGCCCTTTCGATGGCAATTTAAATACGCGTAGCTAAAATTATTTTGTATTCTAGAAGAAACTATTTCTAGCTCTCTTCGTCACAATTGATTCTTGTGCACT